AGTCAGCAAAAATGATAGAGCAAGCCCTGATTTGTAGTGTTTGCTGATTTCTGAGGTGTAAATGCTCACACTGAAAATTTAACAATCATCTCTCCTGTGGGGAGCTGGCTCCAGCACACCCCTGATTCAGGGCCATGAGAGGTAGTATAGAGTAATGAATAAGGAACCCTTCTAAGGGCAGCTAGGTGGCGCCATAGTTCATGGAGCACCAGCCCTGGAGTCAGGAGGACCTGAGTTCAAATTTAGCTTCAGATACTTAGTAGCTGTAACACCTTGGACAAGTCACTTATGCTCTATCTGCCTCAGTTTCCACCTCTATCAAATGGGAATAATAGCACCCACCTCCCAGAGTTGTTGTGAGGACCATATGGGATAATAATTGTAAAGCACTTAGCATGGGACATAGTAAGCACTAGATAAATGTTAGCTATTAATAATAATTATTATTATCACTTGTTCATCCTTCATTCTTGAAGAGAACCAGTGGCCTCAGAAGGGTGATGCCCTGACTTGCAAGTGAATTGGATTTAAGTGCGTCAGGGCTGTGCAGAGAAGGCAGTGTGGAGCAGTGGCAAAAACACTTAATTTGAAGTCTGAGTCCTGAGTTCAAATCCTACCCGTGTGATTTGCAGAGGTCACTTAACTTTTCTGAGCCTCAGTTTCTTCATCCATAAAATAAAGGAGTTGTACTAGATGACCTACAAGATTCCTTCTAGCTCTGAGTCTGTGACCCTATGACCTCTAGGGCAATCTGAGCTAATCTTTGAGAATCTCTGATGATAAAAGGTTCTACGTTGGAAGCTACTGGGTTGTGCTTCTGCTCATTGAGGCTGTCGAAGGACACTGGTGATCACCAGCATAGGATCATAGATGCAGACCTGGAAGGGGCCTTAGGGGCCAGTGTTGGTGACCTCTGAGGTCTAAGAGGTCACTGACCCAGACCACTTCATTCCTGGGAGGCAGAAAAGACAAGCGTCCCTAGGGGCGCACAGCTGGCAAATGTCTGAGGTTGGTTTTGAACCCAGGTCTTCTCCATTCTGGGTTCAGTTCCCTACCCCTTCTGCCAAGCGGCTTCTTATGAGTGAAATAAAGGCGAGAAGCGGGTGATTCTTATGCCCCTCCTACGTGCCCTATCTACTGCCCAGTCCAGTCCCTGGCACTACCCTTGAGCTTGAGCCAGAGTGGAGAGGGCGAAGGAACTTCCATCAGTGAAGGAAGGATCAGCAGGCTCCATGACAGGGTCCCTTCTGACCGCGTGTCTGGCTCATGGGCCTCAGCTGGCATGCCCTGGCCTTGAACCCCCAACTCTACTGAGCCACAGGCGCAATGCTCAGGGCAGGGAGTGTCACTTTGACCACTGAAGTGCCTTGAGACTCAAGAAGGCTCCTGGGCACTCTGATTCAGCCTTGACATCATCAAGGAGTGGCCTGGGACAGAGTAATCATGGGCAAGGTACCTAAGCGCTCTGTGCCTCAGTTTCCTCATCTGTAAAATAAGAAGGCTGACCTTGATGGCTTCTAAGGTACCTTGTAGCTCCAGATCTACTAAGTTATGACACCAGGAAATAAACATTTCCCCACTGGGGATGCCCATCTGAGCCCTGACAGCCAGGGAGACAAACTGAAACCATCTCGAGATCCCACGATAGGGGTGACCGAAGGGACCAACCCTTCCCAGCATTCCCTCTCGATGAAGAGCAGAGCTGTCTGGGCCTGTTGCAACATCCAGAGCACAAACAGCGAGAGCCGAGAATACCAGGGTAGGGCCAAAGAGGAAAGATACGGATCTACCTGTGGTTATAAATACAAACACATTATCATTTCCTCCACACGTTTGGGCAAAGTGGCTGGAAAACCAGATGTAGGAACTCTGACACCTTCATCTGCGGTGCCTACAGACCCTGGAGGGGTTAGATTGACATCGAGGGCAAAGCAAGATGGGTGGATGGGTAAGGGACACAGGGATAGGACCAGGACCTAAACATGACTGTGTCTGAAGGGTCACCTTTAGCTAGTCATCCACAGGCCAAGGTTTCCTGCGTAGCCTGGCCTTAAGGGCTGTCCTAACCTAACCTCAGTATGGAATGAGTGCCCAAGGAACAGAGAGGAGGGACCGTTAGCTGAGTTACCCCTCTGTGCCAACATGAACATGGCCATCCTTGGTTTTCTCATTTGTAAAAGGAAGAGTTGGATTAGGTGACCTCTGAGGTTTCTATAATAATCATAATCAATAATCGCTAATACTTACACAACCCTTTAGGGTTTGCAAGGTACTTATATATGTACATGTATTTCACATATATATGTAAAATCTCATTTTATCCTCACACCAACTCTGGAACATAGATACTATTACCATCTCTGCTTTATAGATGTGGAAACTGAAGCAGAAAATGGTTAAGTGACTTGTCCAAGGTCACACAACTAGTAAGTATCTAAGGCAGGATTCAAACTCAGGTTTTCCTGACTCTAAGACTCAGGCTGCACCATTATGTCCTGTATTGGTCTCTATAATGAGTATTTTTTTTCTTTTTGGTGAGGCAATCGGGGTTAAGTGACTTGCCCAGGGTCACACAGCTAATAAGTGTCAAGTGTCTGAGGTCAGATTTGGACTCAGGTCCTCCTGACTCCAAGGCTGGAGTTCTATCCACTGTGTCACCTAGCTGCCCCTAGAATGGGTATTTTTAACCTGAGGTCCACAGAACCTTTAAGGGGTCAATGGCTAGATACTTGAATGAGAAAAATTGTATCTTTACTTAATATAATTGGTTTTCCTTGTAATTCTTTGTATTTTATTTTATATAAAAACATTCTGAGAAAAGGGTACCTGAGCTTCACCAGACTGCCAAAGAGATCCGTGACTAAAAACATCTGTTCTAGATAGAGAGATGGCCCATAGCTGGAATGCGGCAGGACCCTTCTCAAGCAAACACACACACACATACACCCCTCCACTCACTCATCAAGAACCTTGCAGTATAGGAGGTGAGGTGGGATCTTCTCTCAGAAAGGAGGAGCTGCCCTGAATCTTGCACTTGCAGATGGTGTTGGGTTTACCCAGCCAGGAGCCAATGCCATGCCTGAAATCTTCCCAACACACTGTCTAGCGCACACAAACAACACATTCAGCCAAGCAGGCAGCCTGCCTGCTGCCAGAATGGGGAGCTGGCCCAGAGAGGGGGCTGGTCCACTGCCTGCCAGGCTGTGCACCCACTGAAGGCTGGGATGGCTGCCTTTCCCTTGAGGCACAAGGGGAAGAAGGCCAACTTCACTGCTTGCAGCACCAAGGTAACCAAAGAGCTCATTCTGGGAAGCAAGAGACTCCTCTTTGCACAACCCTTGTTGCTTTTCAGGTATCCTCCTCCCTCCTTCTCCAGGAATCTAGAATTTGAATGAACCTCAGAGGCATCTGGTCCAATCTTCTCATTTTACAGAGATGAGAACTGGGCCTCGAGGATATTAAGTGATTTGCCCAAGGTCACAGGGGTAGTAAATACTGGAGGCAGGATTTGAACCCAGGTCCTCTGATTTCAGAGACAGTGGTCTTTCCACTGTCCTCTGCTACCTCTCTCTCCTAGTCAGAACACAACTTGGGCTCAATTCATATGCAGGCAAACCTCGGGTTTTTGCGCTTCACTTTATTACACTTTGCAGATATTCCATTTTTTACAAATTGAAGGTTTGTGGCAACCCTGCATCGAACAAGTCTATTTTCCCAGCAGCATGTGCTCACATCGTGTCTCTATGTCACCTTTTGGTAACTCTCTTAATATTTCAAACTTCATCATTGTTATCTCTGTGTGGTGATCCGTGATCAGTGATCTTTGATGTTACTATTGTCATTGTTTTGGGGCACTACAAACTGAACCCATATAAGACAGTGAACTTAATCAATAAATGTTGAATGTGTTCTGACTATTCCGTTGACTGGCAATTCCTGTCTCTCTCCTGCTTCTGAGGCCTCTCTATTCCCTGAGACACAACGATATTGAAATTAGGCCAGTGGATAGCCCTACCATGATCTCTAGGTGTTCAAGTGAAAGGAGAAATTAATCAACGTGGCAAACTTCTTTGTTGTCTTAGTGTAAGGAATTGCCACAAGCCACCTCAACCTTCGGCAAGCACCACTCTGACCAGTCAGCAGCCAGCAACATCGAGGCAAGACCCCTCCACCAGCAAAAAGATTACGCTCACCGAAGGTTCAGAGAATGGTTTGTATTTTTTAGTGATAAAATATTTTTTAATTAAGGTGCGTACATCTTTTAGACGTAATACTGTCACCTACTTAACAGACTCTATGTAGTATAATGTAAACATAACTTTTTTGTGCACTGGGAAACCAAAAAATTCATGTGACCTGCTTTATTGCAATATTTACTTTATTGCGGTAGTTTGGAACTGAACCTTCACTCTCTCCAAGGTACGCCTGTATTTTGCTGAAGCTTGGCAATGTGAAACACATTAAAATAGCCAGATTCCAATAAACTATGCCATTTATTGCGATGGCATTGTAGGAGAGGTGGGAGGAAGAGGGCCTTCCACCTGACCTTCCAAAGCCCTCTGGGATGCCTGTAGACATAAGTTTCAGCCATAGGAGTCAGGAGACCTGGACCCTTAAGGGACTTGCCATGGTCTGATTCCTGCAAGTTTTCCGTACCTCTCTCAAACTCAGTTTCCCCAGTGATACAATGGAGGGAAGAGTCTTCTCTCTCCATACACGACCCAATGCCTCAAGAATCAGTTTACATTTACGTAGCCCTGTGTGAGTTTGACAATTTTGCAGCTATGGAGACTGAGGCTCAAGAAAGCTTTCCTGAAGGCCTAGGGCTAATAAGTGCTTTCTACCCCTAGCTTTGTTCCTGACTTTCCAAGCTTCAAAGCCATGCCTCTATTGTGGTCTCACCCTGGAACTCCCCTCGGCACTTGGAGCCTCCTCACCCTGGAACATCCTACCATCCTTGTGGCCTGCTCACTATGGAATCTCTCTTCCCAAAGCCCTGTCCCCATTTATCCACTGGCGGGTTCCTACTGGAGCCTCCATTTTGTGGAGGACCCCAGGATGACTTGCCTTTATTACCCTCCCAGACCCATTCCTGTCTTTCTGGACTTCAAAATTATGTCCCTCTGCTGGGTACTTTCAATTCTCCTGCCACCTCCTGCCTCCTGCCACGTATCCGCTCTCTTTTGTGCGCTGTCTTCCCTCTTTAGAATGTCAGCGTCTTGAGGGCAGGGTTTTCTTTTTGCTCGTATTTGGTGCAGTTCCTGGCAAATAGTAAGCACTAAAATAAAGAGATGTCCTTCCTTCCTTGTGGTAGAGACAGAATTTGAACCCAGGTCTTCACTCCAAATCTCTGTCTGTTCCAAGGACACCATAGTTAATAAGCTCCTGCATAGGAGAGGATACAGAGCTTCCTGGGGCAGTAGTGTCCTCTAAAGGGGCAACTTGATCTTAGCAGTTGTTTGCAGTTGTGTCCTACCCTTCGTGACCCCACTTGAGGTTTTCTTTTTCTTTTTTTTAAAATTAATTTATTTTGATTTATCAACAATCACTAACATCAGCTTTTGAGTTTTAAATTTTTTTCCCCCTCCCCAAGATGGCATGCAATATGATATAGGCTCTACATATCCATTTCTATTAAACATATTTTCACATTAGTGATGTTGTTAGTAAGAATTAGAACCAATAGGAGGAACCACCAGAAAGCACTTGGGGTTTTCTTGACAAAGATACTGGAGTGGTTTGCCATTTCCTTCTCCAGCTCATTTTACAGGTGAGGAAACAGGCAAACAGGGTGAAGTGACTTACCCAGGGTCACACAGCTAGGAAGTGTCTGAGGCTGGATTTGAACTCAGGAAGATGAGTCTTCCTGACTCCAGACCCTGCGCTCTATCCACTATGCCACCTAGCTACCCTAGTTCTGGGCCCAGTTCTCTCAAATGGGCCAGCAGAAAGGCCTTGGCCCAAGTTTTAACCGTCAAACTTTCCTGACAAAAAAATGAGCTGCTCAGAGTATTTTAGCCACTTCTTCCCTTGCCTCAATGTCCCCAGAACCGCCATTAGGGAAGGTCTTTTGTACCCTTTCCCAAGGGTACCATAGATGAACTCACCCTAGGAAGGGCTGGAAAACAAGAAAGGCCTGTCTATGCTAATTCCTCTCATTTCAAAGCTATGATGAATTCACTTAATATCTCCTCCTTCCAATTTCTTTGGAGTCCACGCTCATAGCGGCCTATGAAGCCCCAGCCGAAAGCCTTCTGCTTGTGATTTAGAAGCTCGGCTAACGTTGCTAAGCAAAGAACTAATAACCAGAAACCAGCTCCTGTCTAGAGCCTTCCCTCCACTTTCCTTGAAGGCTAATTGTCTCCACGGGTGTGAGAGGTGGGGTTTTTCTGCGGGATTTAGGAGACAGGCAGCCAGAGTCAAAAAGCATTCTTAAAATACTTCCTATGTTCCAGGAACTGTGCTAATCACTGGAGATTCAAAGGAAGGCAAAAACATGATCCCTGCCCTCAAGGAGCTTAATGGAGGGGACAACATGCAAAAAACAAACAAACAAACCCTGAGAGAGATGGTATACATGGAAGACAACCTCAGAGAGAAGGCACCGACTGGCATCCTGGGGGACCTAGGAAGGCCTCTTGCACAGATTGGCATGTGGGCTGGCTTTGAAGGAAGCTAAGGAGGCCACGAGGTAGAGGTGAGGAGGGTGAACATTCAAGACATACGGAGGCACTGAGTCAAAAGATGGAGTGTCCAATGCAAGAAAGAGCAAGACCCCAATGATGGCGGCTCATAGAGTATGTGGAGGACAGTAATAGTATTAGAACACTGGGAAGGTGGGAAGGGGCCAGGTCATGAAGGGCTCTAATGCCAATGGAAGATTTTATATTTGATTTTGGAGGTAATAGGGAGCCACTGTTTATTAAATAAGGAGGTGACGCTACCCTTGCAGCCTTGGATCTGTAGCTCAGGGTCATATCCCCTGCTCCCTTCTGTGGCCAGGACGGAGGTTGATGTCATTCTAGCGAGGTCCCTAGCCTAGCTGGCTTCTGCCCAGATAGTGGGAGGTAGGATTGGTCTTGTATACAACAGAGCTCTCCCTCAAAGACATCTACTAGCAAAGACTTGACTGTTAGCCACGGAGGAGCATAAGGGAAGAGGACATGGTTAGTCCAGTGCTACATCTCTGTATGGCTGCCCCAGTATCTGACAAGACAGAAAGCCAGTCCTAGGGGCTTGGGGATCTAGTCTTGGGCCAGATGTACTCCTGGAAGTCTTTTCTTGCCTGAATTTGGTGGCTTGCTTCTTGTTTTTGGTTGGAGTTAACTCAGGCCATACCTGCTTTCGAACCACTATGGACAACCCACCCACCATGCATGCAGGGCTCAGGTACACATCTCCATGCTTTTCTTCCTTCAGACGCTGATATAAATACCCTGTCTCTTAAGAGGGCCGGATGTCCCAAGAGTCAACTTTTCTCAACAAGAAATATTTCTTCCTACTAGCAAGGACTTCTCAGCCTTCTCTAGCTCTGAAAGTTACCTGATTCCCTACAGGAGTCCTGACCTTCCCGGTGAAGTAAAGCAAGGACCGTTTAGACCAGGAGTCAGAGAACCTGGGCTCTACTGGTTCTGCTGCTGTGGGAACTGGGATAACTCATCAACATTTCTGAGCCTCGGGGCGGCTAGATGCCATAGTGGATAAAGCACCAGTCCTGGAGTCAGGAGGACCTGAGTTCAAATCTGGTCTCAGACACTTGACACTTACTAGCTGTATGACCCTGGGCAAGTCACTTAACCCTAATTGCCACACCAAAAAAAAAAAAAGGAAAAAAAACATTTCTGAGCCTCAGTTTCCTCAATTGTAAAAGGAAAGAGTGGGATTACATGATCTCTTTAACCTGAATGATTTTTTTAAAACCCCTTACAATATCAGTAAAATTTTTTTAAAATTACAGTAAAAGATTAAATTAAGTGCTAAATTATAAAGTACAGACTCTATAGAAATTTAGAGGAGTGGGGAAATTAATGAGGGTTAGAATAATTAGGGGAGACTTCATGGAGGGGGTGGGATTTGAGCTGGTCCTTGAAGGATGGGCAGGATTTGAACTGGCAAAGAAAAGAAGTATTCTTGAAGGGTTATGGGGGCCAGAGAGGGGACTTTGATCTTTAAGAAGAAAGGCCCTGAGGTAGGAAGGAGCACGGAATGTTTGCTAACGGGTATGGAGACTGGCTTGACTAGAACCAAAGCAGAATGGGCATTACAGATAAGTGGGAAATTAACACTGCTCGGGTGGGACAGGACGTACGCCAGGCTAGGAGTTACAACTGGATATTGTGTAGGGCAGCTGTTATTAGATAGTCCTTTTCAGTTGTGTCTGACTCTTTGTGATCCCATTTGGGATTTTCTTGGCAAAGATACAAGAGTGGGTTGCCATTTCCTTCTCCAGCCCATTTTACAGATGAGGAAACTGAGGTAAACAGGGTGAAGTGACTTGCCCAGGTTCACACAGCTAGTAAGTGCCTGAGGCTGGATTTGAACTCAGGTCTTCCTGACTCCAGGCCTAGGTGCTCTATCCACTGTACCACCTTGCTGCCCCCACTGTAAGGCAGTGTTTCCTAAAATGTGTTCAGTTCAGAAAGAGAATCATGGGATTTTGAACTGGAAGGAACTTTGCAATTGCAGAATTTCAGGATTGGAAGGGACCTCAGAGTTCATCAAGCCCAACATGCAGCTGAAAAAGTCACCCCCCTCCCCACAACGAGCCCGATGACTGGTCGTCCTTCCTCTGCTTGAAGACCTCCAACAGAGATTCAGCCCAGTCCCACCCAAGGCAGCCCGCTAGACTTCTGGACACTGCTAACTATTGGGAATTCCTGATTATTTATTACTAGAACTAATTTGATACCTTAATTATCTTGTGGCCCCAGACCTACATTTTTGCCTGTTTGCATCTTCAATCCATCCTTCCTAGTCCTGGCCCCTGGGGCCGAGCAGAACAAGGCTAAGCCCTCTTTCACACGGCCGCCGATCAGGTAGTGAAGGACTGGCATCACGTCACCCTCTCAGGCTTCTCTTCTCCAGTTCCTTCGACCTATCCTCACGTGGCAGGACCCATCCTGGTGCTTTCCTCTGGATGCTTTCTAGCTTATCAATGTCATCACTTACATGTGGTGCCTAGCAATAAACACAATATTTCAGATCTGATCTGGGCAGAGTGGAGCTGCGTTATCACCTACTGAGTCCTGGACACTGTCAATGTAGCCCAAGTTGCCACAGCTTCCTTGACTGCCATATCATACCACTGATTCATACTGAGCTTGTGGTCCACTAACACCCCTGGACCTTTTACCAGAAAAAAACCCCCCAACAACCCTGCAATCTTGTTATACTCCCTTTATCTTATATCCCTTTATTTTACAAATGAACATACAGAGTAAGGTTAAATGATTTGTTCAAGTTCACATAGACTATAACTAACATAGCCAGAACTGGACTCCATGTCTGCGACTCAGTTTCCTTCTCCATACAATGAGGGGATTGGGCTTGATTGCCTCTAAGGTCCCTTCCAGCTCTAAATCAATGACCCTCTGACTTAGAATCCAGAGTTCTTTGGGGCCCACAAATAAAATTTCAATGTTAATAGCATTTCTCCCTTTAAAATATTAAATATGACATTATATATACATTAAAAAAAAAACTTACTACTTGGAAATAGTGTCAGGCCTGGAGTCAGGAAGACTCATCTTCCTGAGTTCAGATCCGGCCTCAGACACTTCCTAGCTGTGTGACCCTGGGCAAGTCACTTAACCCTGTTTGCCTCAACTTCCTCATCTATAAAATGAGCTAGAGAAGGAAATGACAAACCACTCCAGTATCTTTGCCAAAAAACCCCCAGATGGGGTCACGAAGAGTCAGACAGGACTGAAATGACTGAACAACAACAAATACACCAAAAATACTTATAGGGATCTGCCAGCATGAAAATAAGCTTCATTTCTTCTATTTTGCTCTAAAATGTCCTACAATTCCTTTTATCCAGAGGGTAAAAGCCCGGGGCAGGGGTGTGCTGGTAAATATTGAACCGAGGGGGATGTGCCCAAGATAGCTTTTCAGTTTAATCTGCATTTTTAACATTTTATTAACATTAATCACTTTCTTTAGTCTAGAAAATCAATAAAACAAGAGAGAGGGAAGAAGCATCTGCTCAGCACCTACTTTGTTCCAGGCCCAGTGTTATGCCTTTTATTTCATCCTTGGG